AGTATGTTGATTACAAAAGTCCCCAAATTGTCTCTAAACCAATCACCCAAAGCTTGGTTTTACCATCCTTATTGTCTACGTGGAGATATTACTGTCCAGTCAGTGATTTTCTCACCAAGCCATCGGCGCAGTCCACCTTTAGTAACCTTTGTTAATGGACATTTTTTTATCTCTATGCTCAAGGGGGTAGTGTTAGAATATTATTTTCCATTATTCTATTTTCATATTATGTTACTTTCCTATTATTCTAATTTCCTATTAATGTTTCGTAACCAACAAAAAGAGGGAGGCAAGAGCAATTTCAGCAAGAAGCTCACCATCGGGACGCTAGGAGCATCATCTTTTATTTACTATCTTCTTTTCTTTCTTTTCATAAACTCTAAAATTCAATTATTTAAGTTTCAACTATTACTCTGTTGCAGTAAAATTCCATTAACTTATAAAAGAATAACATATTTTCTCTAGCAATAATGTTCATTCTGTAGTGTTTTTTTAGTCAATTGTAACATTTACTTAATTTTTTAATCATCATATTCAAACAAGGACAACCAAGCTAAAATGAGAGAAGAGACATTTACCCAAACAACAAACGACAATTATAATCTGTATCTGTAACTATGTAAGTTTTAGCACTGGCTCCATTGATGAGAATGATTGTTCCCTCGTCCGTTTCTCTATACCAGCTAAACAAGCTTGATCCTTCATGTCCACCAAAATATTGTCCTTCCCCAGAATAAGCAGATGAGGACACTTGCTTCACACGAACATTAGAAACTACTGGAAGAGCTGCAACATTATTTTACTTCGACATGTTAAGAGCAAAACGGATACAAAATCAAAACTAAAAAATTTGGATGCTGTTGAAGCCAATGGAAAAGGACCAATTATAATACTCTATTTGCACAACATAAAAAGATTAACCATTACAAAGGCTCCATATAAGTGGTACTATTACAATAAGAATGTCTATAACCACACGACCTCTTGAAATTTGTAATAAAAGACCAAATACAATGCGATCCAGATGAATTAATTATAAAAGACTCCATGGAACACCAAATCAGAACCATTATAATTGACAGATTAGTGTGAATGGTGGGTCCAAGAGCTAATAGCTGCTAAGACCAATACGAACCATCCGATAGGATGAGTGGACAGATAAATTTAACTGGCACCTATTGAAGAAAGGAAATGGCACTCTACCTGGTGTGACTGGAGCGTCGCAAATTGATACCAATGGCTTTCCACAATTGCCATCTGAACGAGTTGGCAGCCAATATAAAGCCAAATAGGACCCCACGTCTTCAAGTGAAGGGGTGTATGTTCTGCCAGAGAAGTAATTGTTAACTGAAGTTTATTTGAAAGATAGAGAGATCAACTTGGAATCCATCATACAATATATTGTATGATGGATATAATCTACATATTGCATAACTTACAAAGTGTTGCTACATATAAAAACATCCTCAGCAGAATTCGATATGTCCATCAGAGCAGATTCATGGAGCTTAATTTTCGTCCTGTACCAAATATATTGTCCAACACCTTCTTGTCCTCCGAAGTATGTCTTTTGAGGGACAACTTCCTTGTCCTCACAGCAATCAGAATTTGCAGCCCCACACCCATAGGGCCCGCTGTTGCATGTAAAGTTGTAGAAATTATGTGCCAGTAGATAGAAAAGTTTAGAAAGTGAGATTACTGTGACACAATTCACAATGATAAAGGCCTGAATTAAGTGTGAATGACATTCACTATTCCAAACGAGGAATGAATAATATACAGCCTGGCAACAATTATGATCTATACACAGTATACTTAACCATGAAGCGTTTGGGTGCACCACAGCAGCAGCAATTTTACTGCTTAATGCTAACAGATATCCAAAGTACTTTGTTGTGTCTAGGTCATGTTCAAAGAGTTTTTCGTTACTTGGAGTTCATTAACAGATTTACACATAAGCTCAGATAGGTTTGAAGTCTTTTATATTTCATATCTAAAGCCTTCATTAGTAGCAGCACAGCATCCAAAAATATATAACAGTTTGAGGGGATAAGTTAATAAATAGCCTAACAAAAAGGCTCATGCAATACAAAGATGGACTCAGAGTTCAGGTGAATAAAAATATTTACTAGTAGCAGCATAAATTTTATCTGCTTTCTCACTTTTCCGGTGGGTAAGAGAGAGTATTACAAAAAGCCCTGGAGAATTTGTTGTTGAACATGCCAGAAGGTATACTGATATCCAACCTACAACTGTTCAACAAGGTTAGGCCAATTACTATACCACTTCTCATAGACCAAAAAGGTGTGGATGACATCACACCATTTTTTCCCTTAACTGAAGATATTTGTTAGTTTAAAATAGGTTCTTTCATTACAGCAACCAATTCCTTTCTTCTTAAGTATTCCAGCAAGCTTTCTTAAACACGTTTAAAAAAATTGCAGCTCCACACTCTCCACAATAAAAACAAATGAGATGCAGATAATTAGAAGACAACTTATACTTGTTTTGGAGAAGAATCATGCTCATTCAGGAGCATCCCTACATGGCTACATCATTGTTTAATTCATCCCAGTGTTGCAGAGAAACTAAAAAGGCCTTGGAAAACTTTCTTTGGGCAAGGGATTAGGAGGTAAGCAATGATCAATCAACTAGATGTGAGTGTGTAAAGAGAGCTTGTATGCCCTACCGAATAACTTGGATCATTCAAGGTTGGTTTATATGCTTTAAGAGTCTTCCCACTCATGGCCAGTTGATTTTAATCTAGGAAGCATGGATACGGATAAGAGATACGGGTATAATACGATACGGATACGGCAAAACCCCAAAAAATATGATATGGGTACAGCCAGGATACAACTATAAATATATATATTTTATATTTAAACTATTACGAGATGACTTAATAGAGATAATTTTTAGTGATTCTTTAATAACAATAAACAATATTAACAAGTTTTTATTTTAAAATAATTACCTATCGTCTCACTATAGTACATCTACAAAGTGAACATAATTAATTAAATGAATAAGAACTAAGATTTAACTAGATTGTTTGCTTAGGAGTATTTGTTGCTAAGATTATAGAGTAATCAGTTCATTTATACTCTTTGGACATGTGATAAAGTATAATACTTGGAACATACTCGTGTCTTCAAAGTCAAGAATTTTTGTTGATGTATTATATTGTATGTGAAATCAAAAAGAAGAGGTAAAGATTAAAACTAAAAAATATACATACTTATTTGCATATAGAAGTATCTGTGAACTATTCATATATATATTTATTATTGGATGCATTTAGTGTATATTTGATACATAACCTTGAGTATCTAATGAGTATTGTATCTTATACGAATATATCGATCATAATGAAGTATCTATGCTTCATAATTTTTGATACTCTAACATGGTATTAGAGTTGGCTCTTGGATGGTCAGCGGACCAAACGTCTAACCCATTTAAATTTTTTGATGTACATGTTTGTTTGCTTGTTTGTTTGTTATGTTTGAGCCTATGTCCCACATAAGAAAGGGTGTAAAGAAAGCTTGTATCCCACATCGAATCATTAGGAACACCCAAGGTTAGTTATATAATTAAGGGGCCTCTCCACTCATTGCCAAATAGTTTTGAATTATATGTCCTAATAGCAAGACCATGTATTGTTACAAGATAAAAGGCAAGAATGGCTCAAGATATGTCCTCCATTGTTTCTTGATAAGAAGTTGTTTCACCACAAAGGGTATAGGATGGACTTAAACTATGTTGTTTGTCTATTTACATCCCTTGTGACATATAGTCACTACGTTGTATCCTTCTTGTTGCTTTTTGAGTCCAAGATGTCAATGATTGCAAAATTTTGCAATATAGTTGGTGAGAGAGAGAGAACTTAGCGGTGACATTGGGGCCACAAGCATGTATAAAGGTAGTTTCACAATAAATTAGACTACTTCAAATACTAACAATTCAAAGTACTATGTCATTAACAACACAATAGTTAATAACTTAAACAGTCTCGGAAAGAGATGCATGTTGGAACTGAGTCAAAACATTTATTGACTTTCTCATAATGCCTCAAAAGATTGGCGTTTCCAAAAAAACTCAACTATTAAACCTTGTATTATGGAAATACTTAACGAAAGTTTTGTTATAGTGCAATGTATCATTGTGTCAATATTTCTAATTTTTTATTTTAACACCAAAGAGCTTAAGGAAAGCAAATTTTACTCTAGAATGGGCAATGCAATAAGAAAAACTAATTCGAAGATGTGACAGGCATAGCCAACCCAGCTCCAGAAGTACTGTTCAAATACCATATACATTTACTGAATTAGACAAGAATAAGCAAGCAATTACTCCACATTGGCCAAATAGTAAAAACGATTAAAATCCAGAAGTATATACACTCACTATTCTCAATAAAAGATATTCATAAGCAAACAAAACAGCTTATACGATTGTTCCAGAGTCGAAGAAAAAAGGCGGTCTTCTGATACTAAAACTAGCATACCAAGAATTTCCAATAAGCTGATAAAACAAGTAGGGTCATCACAGAATTTGGTACCAGTTTTCTATGAGGATGGACTTTGTACAGTCCTAAACTTTGGTTACATTTATGGTGAATTTTTCACAATGGAAGGAACAACTCACCAGGAGCAACGGGACTGGATATTACACTCCTCGAAGTCCCTTTCAATCCATCTTTTCGCACAGGTGTGTAAACAACTTCCACAGCACCTCCCACATCCTCTAAAGTTAAATCTAAAAACCCTGCCAAAGTAATAAGTTCACTATTTAGCAGGTCCCTAGACATACTGGGAATAAAAAGCATCTGAGAATTGAAAAGGCAAAACATACCACCAGCATTCAGTTTCTCCCTAACACCACTATCCTTCACCCTAAACCATTCATACAAACAGTCCCCCTTTTCACTGAGCAAAAAATAAAAGGATTCAAATTCAGAAATTAGAATAAAACATGGGTAGAAGCTAAGGTTATGTCAAGCCAATGGTTCACCAATTCTCACCCTCCACTGTAAGATGCAACAAAGCTCAAACGCTCTCCTTCAATAAATGATCCAAGAAATTCAAGCGACTGGCAAGTCGGTGGCCCTGCAATAAAAAATTCTATTCAAAAGCAGCAATTATTGTGATACCGATTCTCCAGGGAACAAAATTGGATATCCATAATCAGTGTAAGTGGCTAATAGACCTTCATTATATAAGAATAGGAAAGAATGCAACTCATGTATGAAAAAAAAATTATTCAAAAGATGCTGAAAAATCTATGAATATTACCAGCTACAATTGGTCCAATTTGTTCAGAAAGGACAATGGGACCGCGGGCCCAATCAATTCTGACAGGCTCACATGAAACCGATATAAAAAGCCCAATATCATCAACAGAGAGCATGTATGATGAATTAATGGCACCATTAACTTCAATTTGGATGCCATCTGAACTAATCTGCATGCAACACTTCCATTATTGAGCTATGGTAGCAGTAAATTATGAATTATAATGTAAGACTAGGTAATGTAAATAATCATTGAAAAGTCAAGCTTTGCAACAACAGGCAAGGAGGAAATCACTATTAGTATAGAGATCAACATACTCGGAACCAGCGGAAAACTGAGTCTCCCTCATCACCACCCCAATATTTTTTTTCAACACTTAGCTTAGTGCCTTCGATAGCAGTTCCAACTATGTGTAGAGAAAGCAACCTCGGGCTTCCTAATGATCAAGGAGCATTAAACAATAATAAGTTATGTCAGCACTTAATTTAAATACCTCCACATCCAGAATCAGACGCTAGCTCAACTCCCAAATGTAAGCAAGGATGCAAGCAGCACAAATAAACTGTTTCTTAGAACAGAACACATTATAATGATTTTAAAACCACAGGCACCAGATACTCGCGCCGCCGGAAAAAATATTAGTACACAGCACATGCAAAACGCCATCAAGAAAAATAAAAAAATAGGCATCTCATGTAAAACGAACATAAGCAAGAGTAACCGGCCCCTACCGAAACCAAAAAATACTGACAGTCTAAGAGCTGCATCCATGCCAGAGAGCATCCAGATTCCAAAATTTCTTCGATACTCTTGGTTCCATCCAAGATTGATAAGTGCATTATGATAAGATTGAACACTTCAAAAGGCACAGTCTAGTCTCTTTCTTGTTTGTAAGGTTTTATATTCTCTCGTGCTATTTGTCATTACTGTGCACTATTTCTCTCTTTCCCGCTTTTCTTAGCATACTATGGTCCCCCTGACATTGCTTGCACATACCCATAGCTTCAAATATAAAATCCAAAATGTTGGACAGTTGGCAAACACCTCGTTGGCTCTTTACATCAGACGAAACAAGCCTTGTGATATTAGCATAACATTCTTTTAACAAAAAAAGAAATTTCAATCCAAAAAAGAAATACTCATTGATAATGATGTTGCACCCACATAATTTCAAATCTAAAAGGAGTTGGGCCCCATTGCACTCAATTCCAGAGTAATCAGACACTTGTCAAACACGACTCAAACTAAAGTTTCTTGTCTAACATTTGAAAAACAGCCCTCTCATTCTAATGAAATAAAAAACAATCTAGCCTTTTGCAAAACCAATTATTTCCAAAATTTGTTAGTGTAAAGCTCCCATTACTCAAAGGTGACTTCTGCAGATTAGTTTCCCTAATTAACTCATTGAACCCCTTCATACTTCTAGTCAGCCTTCCCCTTGCATTTTCTCAGTCACATATCTAACTACAATAATATCTTCCACTAAACGCCACCTCATGTTAAACAACCATACAAAACCAGCCAGCTCTTCCCCAGAAACTCCTCCTTAACCAAGATTTATTAGGCCCATAGATTCAGGCAACAACCAATATACTCCACCATCAATTCTCAAATATACAAAAACTTAAAAATCACCAATTAAAAACATTATCCTAACATCCAATATAACCCCTATATCCCTGATTTGATTTACTACATGAAGGCAATAAATCCCAATCCTTAAACCAAACTCTCAACCCCCAGAAACTACAAACAACCCATCTAATCACTATCACCTAAGAAGCACGGATACGGACATGGGTGTCGTATCCGATACGATACGGACACAGCGATACGGAAAAATTCCAAAATGTAGGATACGGGTACGGCGAGAATACGGCTAATTAAAATAATTATATATATTTTTATATATATAACAACATAATAATAACAAACAAGACATAGCAAACATTACTTAAATTGAAATAGATCAAAATTCAAAAAATATATATAATTTTCAAAACCAACAGGCAGCAGCACAGATGACCAAAAAAAAGCTAGCTAGGAAATTACAACAAAAAAAGAGAAGACAAAAGCACAACAAAAAAGAGAAGACCAGCGGCCAGCAAGCAACACAGCACCAAAAGGCAACAAGTTAGGAAAGCAATTTTTAATTTTTAAAACCAGTTGGCAGCAGCACACTAGCACAGAAAAGCAACAACACAGATGACCAAGACCAAAAAAAAATTCCGAAGGCAGCAAGTAACACAACACCGGACCAAAAAAAAATCCCCAATTTTTGAAAACCCTAAAAATCCCCAATCAAATTAACCTAATCAAATTTTTTGAAAGTTCACACTCCACACAGACCAGAAGATGAAGAGGTAAGAGTAGTAGTAGATCTGAAAAAAAAAAAAATAGAAGCAAGTCGCAGATCGCAGTCACAGAGCGCGATCGCTGTCGCAAGTGAGTTGCCCTTCCTCTTCCTTCTCCTTCTTCTTCTCCTCCTCTGGTCCTCTCGAGCTCCTCCTCTTCTCTTCTCTTCTCTCCTCTCTCTCTCTCGAACACACCAAATGTCGATTGGAATCGGTTCACAAATCAACGACGCTTTAGTTTTTTCCTTTTCAAGCCAAAACGACGTAGCTTTGGCCTTTTTTTTTTGTTTCGACCCCCCTAAGTTTTTAAAATAACAAACGTACCCTGCCATATCCCCCACATATCCGACAAAAAAAAATGACAACCACTGTTCAGGACACTTCTACATGTGTCGGACACGTATCCGACCGTCGGACACGTGTTCGACATTGCCACGACGACCTCCCGACGAGTATCCGTGCTTCCTAGACTATCACTTTCTTAGTCTCTTGTAACACCACAACTAGAGGTGTCAAACGTGTCGGATTAAACAGTTACGTGTCGAGTTAAACGAGTAGAAAATATATAAACCCATACACGACACGTTTAATAAACGGGTAAAAAATCTCAACACAAACACGACCCATTTAATAAACGGGTAACACGACATCGACTCGTTTAACCCGTTTAATTTTAAAAAAATTATATTAACAAATTTTAATACTCCACTTTTTTTTTATTACCAATTGCACTTATCTCAAAAAAAAAGAAATTTTTAGTCAAATCACATAAAAATAAGACTTGAAGGCTTAAAAAAAACACAAGAGGTCATTGTTTTTTATAGGCAACTCAAACCTCCTCATCTCCCCTCATTTTTCAATGTGGGATAAAAACAAAAGGCATTGGTTTGCCTTTGTCTTTGAAGTGCTCCTCCTCTCTTCTCTTTTGTCTTTGAACTACTACTTTACTTTTTTTTTTATTAATTTCTTTTTTTTTTACTAATTTTTTAAATAATTATTAATTTATTATTATATTAATTTTATTAAACGGGTAAACGTGTGATAAACGGTTTCACAGTCTCACCCAGACACGACCCGTTTATTAAACATGTTTGGCGTGTCAACCCGTTTATCACTCAAACCCGTTAAGATCTCACTCAAACCCGCTTAATTCGTGTCAGTTAATTATGTCGTGTTGAATTTTGACCGCCCAAACCACAACATTAGCGTTAAGCCTTTAACGACCACCCTCCCGAATAGCCTTTACTATTTTCCTATTGCCCAACCAAACACTATGAATCTTCATTAAGAAAAAATTTTACCCCTAAAATTACTACATTCACTATTACCTTTATAGTTAACACCAAATTTCAAAATTTTAACCTCTCTCATCCCCTTTTTATTCCTAATACCCTTTCCTTTATTATATTTGTACCTTCCCCTCTAAAAGGTACAAGAGTCATTTCAATTGTAGTCAAGAAATCCCTCAACAATTCCCTAACTTCCCCCTTTTTTCAAAACTCAAATCCACTATCTCATTTCTACCCTTCAAACACTTTCCATTCAAAGAAGCCCCAAAGCATTACAAACATGCAACTGATTTTCCTCATGGAGAATACCAGTAGCTCCAATAAGAGTATTCATTTCCTTACCAATCCTATTGCTAGGATTCCCTAATTGTGATGACTTAGATCTAATACGTTTATCCTTAGACACTTCTCTCTGCGTATAATCTAATAGAAGCAAGCGATTATTAGAAGCATAAGGTAAAACAGGACAAAGACACAATAAACCCCTACTCTCCTCAACCCTCACCATCCGAAACTACTACTGAAATGCACCAAAGAAGAGCTAGAGCACTTAGCGGATGCCAGTTTCTCTTCATTAGGAAAAGCTATGTGCTCATCAAATAGGTCTCCAACATCGAGTAGTGTTTCTACCACCCTAGACCCCTCGGAACTGTCGAACTCTTTGCTGTTATACTACCATTTTCACCGTCCACATATTCATTATCATTGTCCAAACCAAAGTAGGTTTCTTTAAATTTTAAGAATCCGTCATCAACATTATCTCAACATAATATATGTTGCAGAATACCAAACCTACTTTCCATCAATTCCTTTTTCGCATCTCTAAACTCCACATCCACTTCCATAGATTTCCTCAATCCCTCAAACCTTCAATCAACAAAATACTCTTGTCTATCCCAACCAAGACCCACCCCTTTCAATTCCCCTTCATTCACAAGTTCCCAACCCATGACTTCATTAATCGCATCATCGCTCATCTTCTTTAGAGTTGCAGAAGACAAGTATGTTATCCCAAATAGTGAATGAGAACTTATTAGGGCTTTCAATGTCAGGCTAACATAACCTGTTACCCGAACAAAGCAGAGAGCAGTGGGTTTGGTCCATCGCAGCCAACCACTTAAATCTGCAGACTTTCTTTGGATTAAATTTGTTGAATGCCAACAACCATCGCATCCTAGGCCTATCATGTACCTTTTCACTTTGTTATTTAGTATATATTATTAAAAAAAAACTCCAACACATTACCTGGACGTACACGCTCCTGCCCATTGCAAGTTCTGGACTCACCCACTATTCCATCATCACGTACAGGGGTACATGTAAAAGATATGAATTTATCAATAGCATCTTTTGTAACACGATACTGAAGAAGACCTGAAACCTCAGGTATTAAAGTACCCGAGTCAGTTTCAGCCTGCAGAAACCACAGAACATATAAGTCAATATTCGAATTCAAAGTTCAAAAAAAAAAAAAAAAGCAGGGTCACACAAATATTTTTTGCTACTCAAAGTTGATTATAAAACTAAGAGAGGACTAATCGTGTAGCATCCATTTATGGAAAAATTACAGCAATTACATATCACTTATTAGGTTTCTAGGGAAAAGTTATTATATAAAGAAAGCCGTAAGATAAGTATGCTTAGCAAGATCTGCCAAAGTGAACTGTGAAGATACTAACTTGAGCCTGCGCACGCTGCAAATGGTTTGTGCCAAAATGAATTAAAAAACATTACCACCTTACTAAGAGTTTCAGTTGGTATGTGAAATTCTTTGTCTTCAAAAAAGAAGAGAACAAAATACAAGTTTTAAACCCAGCTTGTGAGTAATTTCACTCGTGTATATTCGGAGGCTGTCATCTAGTAAGTTTTTAGTTACAATCCATGAATATGAACATTCAGACAGTACAGTCAGAGCAAATGTGCACCCAAAACCAAAATCGCTCATGGTGCATAATGAATTTAAAGTTGACTAAGCATCCATGCAACACCAAGTTTGATTCATACTCTTGTTCATTGTCCTTTTACACGTCATAGGGGCTGCACTAAAAAATCAAAAGTATATACCTCATGAAGATACCAACTGTAAATACTTTTTCCTTCATGACCCCCTATGTACCCATATGATGCTGTCAGAATTCCACCTTCAGAGTAATCTCCAGTTAAAGATAAGAAATTTAGGCTTGGGGGAAGAGCTGCAAAGATTTAAAATGCATGTTAGCAACATATTCATTACATCAACTGCTCAAGAATAACAACGGAACCATGCATTGAATGGGAGACCAAAAACTAAATTACTTCAGAAACTTACAGATATTGTTTGAACTGTTTTGAATATAAGTTTTTTTTCAAACAGATACCAAGATCTAACAACCACAGGCAATTTGCAAGGAAAAAAAAGTTAAAACAAAAGTGAACAAACAAGAAAGATGTGTTACCTATCAACAATGGGTGAGTTTAATCACACCCAAAAACACTCTACACCAATTGTAAGGCAAATCAAGAACAATCTACTGGCCTTGGGTAAATAATGGGTTCCAGTTCTTTTTTCTCTTTTGTACTTGGGTTCCAGTGCATTTGCACCAAAAAAAAAAAGCATCTTACAAAGGAATATGGAACCAACAAGCTTGATCTCTAATGTCAGGTAATGTCTGATCATGTTCTCAGAACACTTCAAGAATATGAAACACCAAAAATAACGTTTCTACTCTGATAATAGTTCGCAAGCTCAATGTATGTATACTTTCAATTTCTAACCCCAATAATAACATTGTACTTTGGAACAATTGTTATTTTTATGCAGCCTTGTTCAAAGTGATTTCTCTTCAATTTCTTATTATTTCTGGATTTGCTTTCAAGCCATAAATCTTGACATTTGAAGCTTGGTGTCTGAATTGAAAAGAGAATAACACCCCATATGATAACCCAATTCTTAATATTAAAATATTGAGGTTTGAAAGAGCATCATTTTATTTGCCTCATTCAATAATTGATAAAAGTAAAGGAAGAGGGGTTGTCCGAATGGCAACATGAAATCAAATGCTTATGATCCCTCCTATTCTAGAATGCATTTTCATACTTGACTCATTCATTAACTAATTAGAGTACAGGATGATGAGTCATTCAGTCATTTGAATGGCAAGATTAGATCAAAGAAACAGTATCCTTAAATGCGAACATTGAGAATTTGAAGTTGTGGCTCCCCCCTTTGTAGCATTTACAAATTCATCATGGAAACCTCATTTACATGATTAAAAAGATTTGGAATGCTGTAGGATACAAAATTCGTTGAGGAAGGTGTTCCTTGCAACATACTTTGCAAACTTACACAGCATGCATAATTTATTTTGTAGGATGGATTCTCATACTTGACTCATTCTTCAATTCAATTGCAAAGAAGGAAGATGGGTCATTGGAATAGCAAGATGAAATCAAATGTACAGAATCCCTCTCATCATAAAATCAAAAAACTGAGAATTTGAATTATTTGACAACATCTTCCGGTTAGAACTTTTGGAAAACTGCCCACAACTTTTAAACAAGAAATTCAACTCAGTGTGCACCATTGATTCTTAACAAGGCTTCATCTAGTGTATGACCCAGGGGTGGGTCAAGTCACACACTCCTTGCTTAACCATAATCTACTCAGGAGATGAACCTAAGAGAAATTCACTGCTTCGTCTCACTTTTGAGGAGATCAGCTCCAGAAACTAAACAGACAATTGGTCATGATTATTTGTGGCATAGCCCCCTTGAGTCACACACCTGAAGGTATGGCTCAACAAATGCCTCCAAGCTTAGCAATGAATTAGGCACAGCGTGTCACGAGAAGCCACTTCGAAAAACAACAAAAGAGTTGTCGGCCTTAAACTTGGGAAGAAGAGTTATATGTGTAGAATGATATTATTTTGGTCCTTTAGTCATTTCATTTTAATTCAGATTTGTTAGACAACGTTTTCCCCAATATGCATATAACAGCAGGGAAATCAGTACTACAGAGTGAAAATGTTTCAAGTTCCACGTTGCCACAACACTGTAGAGAGCATGTTTATAGTGGCACTCTGGCTACTTTCACTTTACCAAGTTTGAAAATGGTTGACACAATTCAATTCAAGAGCTTCGACCCTTTAAGTAAATTTCCTAAGAGACACTGATTCCCATGAATAGAGTTGTGGTCATCACGTTTAAGTCAGATAGGTTAGCCTTAAACCTAATACTACTATCCCCAAAATACAGGATGAAGTTTGGAGAGTGCAAAACTGATATTGAAAAGACACCTTCATGAGGCCATCTTGGCAATGAAGAATACATGACATCATGTTGTTTGAGAACTACAGTTAATTTAGAAGCAGAATCCACACTCAACTAACTATATATTAGCTTGGCACATACCCCTTTCTGCCACTTCCTAATTGCCCACTCCCTCTCCCCCCCCCCCCCAAAAAAAATAAAAAAAAAACAAAAATAAAAACTTTGAAATTTCTGGCTCTGCCACTGGACCCATTCATGTTTCAAAATAGTTCATTACAAAGCTATACTTAGTCTTCTTAATGGTCCTCAAGCTGTTTACCCTTGACTATACTGAATATTGATTAAAACCAAAAAAAGAGCCTTCACATGAAGTTTGGCACAATACAGTCAAAGCATTGATTCAATAAAGATTTGAAGAACTGGAATTCACACTGAAAAGACTTACTTTACTGCAAAGACAACACTTAATTATGAAACTGAGAGACTAATAGATATTTGTTTATGGACACCACTACGAGTTTATAAGAATCAAGAGATTTCTGATGATTATAATATACTACACAAGAGTATTTGATAAACTATGGGATATTCCACACGGTAAGTAACTGAAGGGATGATATCATGTAGAAAAAAAAAATCTAGATGGAGTATATTTTGATTTGAAAATTTTCGAATACAACCCATTTTACAGCCCAGTTCAGACTTAGTCGAATTTGTACACACTCAAGACAGATAAATACCGAACAAGACAAATATGAAGTCCATGAGAGTGGAATTAAATTAAGACGCTGATAACTTGAGTACCTTTTGTGGAGTCTTTGTACTATTCTTTAGTTTGGACAAAACTAATTTGTTTCTTTGAACATATTTGATAACAAAAACCCTTTTAAAGCAAGTCAACATCAATGCTTAGGAAACAAAAACTCTCTCAAAAGGTCCACAGCTGCTCAGCATTTTTTTTAATAGGAAACAAACTTTTAGCAATAAATAAAGGAAAGTATTGCAATATGTGAATGAAGATGTCCATCCAAGTAATCGCTCAAAGCAGGGGGGAAAAAACAGAAAACCACAAGCTACATTCCATACGAAGCTCTCCAATTTGATATGATACCAAAAAAAAAAAGGGACATCCTCAAATTATTTTGGCACCGAAGCCGAAAATGAAGCTAAGAAATAGATCCGCTCCCACCTCACTTCCAAAACGTCTTCTCTATCTTCAAATAATCACGAATTTCTTTCCAACCAAGAAACCCAAACGATTGCAAGGAAAGCACATTGCCAAAAGAATACCAACACCCATTCCAACTCTGCCCACTCCTGTGACTTAGCCTTCAAAGGTTCAATTGTCTAAGCTATTACTGATGGTGTGTGATGCAACTAATGTGTACCTTAGGTACTGTTTGGGAATCTCCACAATTGGTTCAACGCAAATCTGGTCTCATTTTGATGTCTAGTTCATTAGAAATAATTTCAAGTTGGTCTGGAAAGGGAAAACAAATTGTTCAATGGTCTAGAAGCAAATTTATTCAAACCCAACCAGGCATGTCTTTACCCTGCCTGGTTATCCTTGAACACTGGAGCCCATTAATTTAAGGGGTGTCCAAGCATGCCACAAGCAGACAGTAGACAATTAGCGAGATAATATACAGAAAATTACATCTAATTACAGCAGTGGAAAGAGAAAGCCAGTCAAATAGCAAAGTTTAGCCATCTAGGATTCAATTTTACATTGCCATGTTTTGAAATTGCAAGAAAAAAATCTTCTATTATGGTAATGTGTGGATGGGGGGTAAAAATCTTTATCTATTTGCACTTACGTTCTTACAAAGAGAATAGGTCAGACAACCAATTTCAGTGATCCTCATGATTCAACTAATTAATTTCATTTCTGTGAGGCACTCTAGACAGGTCGAATTGAAAGAGTGGATACTCATTACTCAGTTAAATGTTTCCATGAATTTGAAAGAATTATATCAACTCCCTTAGCACTTATATATAAAATATGATCAAAGTCCAAGATTTTTCTGCTTAGGAGTTATTGAGACAAGTGCAATGCCAATAAAACAAAAGCAAATACAACACCCATTTTATTCACATGAAAAAGGATAATAATAAGCCCTTTTTTGAAGATCACAAAATTTTTTTATAAGCACTTGAACATTTATGTAACTTTTGTCTTCCATCTAATCTATAATGTATAGTACTGAAAATTTAGTAAATGTACTTACTTTCAACTGCATTTTCAGATATAGCATAAACTGGTTCACCAGATTCACCATCTGGAGTCATTGGCGTGAATTTTGCAACAATATGACAGCCAACAGCTCCTAAAGGTATGCGAAAAGCCTGAGAAAGCCAAAAGTTCAACTGAGATCACGCATCACATAAGCTAGATCATAAATGACCAACTCTAACAACTCCTACCTTTGCAATTTTGGATGTGCTTAGTGCTTCAAGACCATTCTCACCATCCAACATTGGAGAATTTGTTTTAAACCACTGAACTCTGCTAGATCCTTCTGTTCCTCCAGTGACGATACCAGTTACAGTAACCTTACTGCCCTCCCTTACTTCACCAATTATCTTCACATTTGTCACTTTTGGAGGAGCTGGAATTTAGATCAGGTCAAAAGCATAAGAATTTGCAGAATCAAATGATGACTGCAAAATGATAGATCTGCTACACCACCAACTATGGACAAAAGCATGTAAATGGTTAGACATCAGAAAGAATTTGTGATAGTCAAAAGGGAAAAAGCAAAAGAAACACTAGGAAAAGGAAATGAAGCAATTGAGTGAGGTTTTTTGTTTATGTCAATATTTAATTACAATAAAAATTTTGGATCATGTATGTTCAGCATCACGTTCCCCATGATGATAAGAATGAACATCAGTTGCACTTTGAAATTTCCTCCATTAAGTTTTTCAAGTTTCCACTTTTCATTTTCAGTAAATTGAAAGAGTAAAAGGCCTACATTCTAAGGTCCAGTGATGCGTTGTTCTGCATTTTAATATTAGTTGTTTCCTGTCTTTCTTGTGCCAGTAATCTTTATAAACCTCAGGTTGTTCCCTGATATGAAAGTGCGACGTCTGAGAAGATAAGAAATCATGTATACAAGATCATCAACTCCCTTAATATAATAATATCAATCAGAAGTTAGAAAATATGTGATGATAGACAAAATAATTCAAACAGTCTAGTGGCTGTTTGGAGAGAGAACTAGCATAGCTGAAGTATAAATACTTAAGTTACACAATTTCTAACAAGCTTAAACGTTTAGTGTAGATGGTTGAACATGGTATCAAAGCAAGAAATCGTGTATTCAAATCTTGCAGCCTCTATGGTGGTCAAAAGATTTTCCACATGCTAGGCACAAAAATCTAGCCTACACGTTCGGAGATATGTTGAAATACAAAGAACTAAGTTTTACCCACTCAAGCAAGTTAAACTTTTAGTGCAGATTATGGTTTAACCGGTCTTAAAATAAAATAAGATTCATTCCATTCAAGATCATTCGGGTCCCTTAAGCTTCTCTTTGGTCCTGCACCATGTAATTTGGGAAAGATCAAGATCAGTTCTAGGGTTTTACACTGAGCCGAGGAAACCTTAACCAATAGCACACATACTCATAAAGTGCATGTGAAAAATCTCTGTAAAGATAGATTGAAACAGCACTACTCTCATCAACTACCAATTTCAATACTTTTTAAAATGGATTTATGGATTGAATTACCCAATTCTCCATTACTTTTACATGCCTAAATTTTTGCTTCTTTAATAAAACACAGCCCATGACCCATATTACATAAGCCATTATTAATACTCCATTGCTATAGAACATCCACATTGTCCATAATTTGTGGTGGAAACTGATTTTGTCAATCATTAATAGCCAACAAAATACATCCTCAAAAAAAACTTTGACCTTAAGCAGTCAGTCATGTGTCTGTAATACCTACACAAAGCAATATTTAGTTTTAAGCCTTTTCACTGATTGATAAGAGAGGCACTACAAAAAGAATCTTAAGAACAAGAAGATAGAAATAAAAAACAATAATTTCATTTTCTCACCCCAAAAAGACGTAACAAAATAGATATACATATAGTTAATGAGTCGCATTACATATTTGCATCTTTGTTGAATATCTCCTTATACTAAACTAAAGAGGGAAGTCATAAGTGATCAATTGTTTTCTAGTTAATGATTGATTATCCTGAACCAAAAATCAGTGTCAAACATTCTCAATATCGATATACCCTAGGAAATACAATTACTGGAATACATTAGGGAATACAGTTTGCGACTGATACTTTGAGCCATATTGCTCACCCTAATGCAAATGGCGATGCTCACAAAGTTTGCGGCTGGACTGGCCCTCTCATCCTCAAAATCCAACACTAAACCATATTTTAGGGCCCTCTAGGATTGTAAAAATTAAATAAACTAGGCCTGAACCATATCAAATCAAGCCGCACACAAAGCTCTCTAAGTGTAATCCATCTTTTGAAATTGTACACCACAATTTATTTACTCTTCCTTCATAACCTCTTACTCACATACATTATTGATTACAAGGATGAATATATCCCACAAAAGCCAAACAAAGACTACAGAAATATTTCTCATGACTATATAACTCACAAACCTCAGAGAGGATGGGCAAGGCAATGTAGATTAGATAATTTAGATTAAGGGAAAATACTTAGCCAACAAGGAGAAAACAAATGAGGAAATAACACATCATTGATATATGTACACCAACAAATGGTCATTGTCAATTATCTTCATATAAACACAAAAAGCCTATAATTAACTCAACTTAACAAAGCCTTAACCCAACATTTTTAGGGTCAATTTCATGAATCAAGTTTCCATTGTACTCCGTCAATAGCTATTATATCCCTCTTGTTTTACTAGTGTCATAGTACAAACTAGGAAGTCTATAAATCTGTCCAAACCACCTAAGTCAATTATCCCTTATTTTATCTCCTATATGTGCTGCCTCTACTTTTTCATCGATATAATCATTTCTAATTTTATCATTCCTAGTTTTATCACACATCCATCGTAACATTCTCATTTCCATTACACTCATTTTTTAAACGTGTTATTTCCTAGTTGTCCAACGCTCAGCACCATAAACCTAGCGGGACTTATGGTTGTTCTATAGAACTTCCCTTCTTGATTAACAGATATATGTCTATCACACAATATACTAGATGCATTCATCCATTCAGTCAATCCTACATTCATTCTCCTAGTAAGATTGTCACCAATCTCAAACTCTATGAATAATACACCATAAATATTTAACATGATAGCATGAATTTCTCAAAACAAACATGATAACTTGTTCATATGAAATATAGGTACCTTGCTTGACAATCTGAGACACTACTAACATAGATTTTCCTTCTTGCCCTGAAAAAAAAAAAAACAAATTACATTAGTTAAAAAAAGATAAACAATCAATGAGCATGTTTTCAAGGAGAAAACAAAAAGATCTAAAAAAATCTACGAGTACACTACAGACAAACAAAATCTCTAGGTGTCTTACAAAGCAATGTGAAAAATGCTAATGCCCAAAACATACTAGAAATAAATGAGCTTACCTTCAAAATTCACAGGTACATATACAAAAGCCAAGCGCCGACCAACATCTTCTTTTGTTAAAGTATGCTCAGTTGCACCAGTCGACACCAATACAAATTCTCTGCGAAAAGAAAAGGGAAAAGTTAAAAAAACAAATTAGAATGGAAGCAAGCCACCAACATAAATGGGAAAAAAAAAACACTCTTATTGCAAGAAATGTAGTCAAATCAGCGTCCCCCCCCCCCCAAAAAAAAAAAAAAAAAAAACAGAGAGGACTGTTAGTTGTTTAATAAGTTGGGAAATATAATACGGAATGCAAACTAACATATCATCCTTTTGGAACTCTCTGTCATAATTGGTTTTTGGGTTGGAACTTGGAGCTTTAAGTTGAAGGCCCATGAAAATATTATGATTTTCACAACCTAATGAGGGAATCAAGCAGCATGTGGTCGAACCAAATAGCCGACAAATTAGCCATTTTTCTACTTATGTTGAAAAACACCAGCCCGATTCAGGCTTACTTGTCCAAGTAAAGCCCACACACTTGTGAGGCCAAGGCTAGCTCTAATAGTACTACACAAATACATGTAAAATTACAATGTAACAAAAATGCTAGTATAAACTAGAATGATTTGTAAACAAAAATGAACAAACACCAGAAGGGGGCATGAATTATTACTAATCATTGAATATGGGCAGAACTGACACTGATACATTATAGGAATCGCACCAAGCAAGCATCATGAAACAATGCCAAGCCAAATTGCCATGAATATCTACTGATCAATAAAATATCACCAGAAGTTACTGAAACCCAGATTTGGCCCAAAAAAAAGCAAACCAATTTGGGACTAGTTTAACTCAACACATCAAACACAAGCTTCCCAAGCATGGGATCGATAAACACTGCTAGGTCACAGTAAGTGGTTGCATGGATAAACAACTACGATCTATCTAAATGCTCGGAAAAATTTAAAAAAAAAAATATGTGTTCTCTCCCCTGTTAAGTCTTTATGCTGTTACAATTAATAAAGAAAGACAAAAAAATTTAAATGAAGTCTTTGTTAAGACTTAAGAGACACAAGAGAGGCATCAAACTAATTCATTAGGACAGGATAATAAAAAACTATGGCATAATAATTATAAAAAAAAAAAAAAAGAAGAAGAAGAAGAATACAAACCCCGAGTCCTTATTTTCACGCAACCACTTAAACTTGCTGGGACCTTCTCGTCCTCCAAAGTATTCCCCAGCTCCTCTGACGGTATTTCCTTCGATAGAGTCTCCAATAATTTGTACGTGGTTGACTGACGGAGGAGCTGCCAATAGTAAAGATAGTTATTTAATGCACTTACTTTTCAATGTTTTCATGTAGTAGATGATAGATATTACTCTTTATTATCTCTGAGTAGTATAGTTAATCTTGTCAAGGGTCCAATAAGAAAATTTAGGTAGCTTAAAAAGAAAAGATGTGATAATAAGTAACATGTGAAGAGAATAGAGAACTATTCAAAGCAAATATGTCAATGCTATAAGCTGAAGTCCAATATGCATATGACAATAACAGCAAAGATAATAAAAGCAACACTTGTGACAACTTTATAATATCTAGACACACAAAAACAGGGGAAATGGTTATCAACAGTTGAGGTCAAACAAATAAACAGCTTGTCTTCCATCATAACACCGAAAAATACATGAAAATAGACATCCCTTTAGAGCATCCACTGAAGACCAATCGGCAATGAGAGGAGAGACCCTTAAATATTTTAACCAACATTGGATTGTCCTATTCTTAGGCTTCTTATTCAGGTGTCACCTAGTACTGTAAAAAATTACAGTTTCATGTAAAAATTGTCTCTGAACATTCTTCGTTCTCGTGAAGAGCACAAGATCCATTTATAGGTCTGCAGAGGAAAAAACATGAAAGGAGAGGGATCATACACAGATTGACCATCCTATCTAGACGTGGCAAGAATAGAAGATGGGCTTAACGTACAATGTAAACGTTGATTCAAGGTCTTGTTTAGCAAGATACAAATTTCAACATAAATGTTTGGTCGGAAGATTCAGCGTATCCAATTCACGAGCGCCTATGATCGAAAGAGTTGTGTGTTGGGCGAATCAAAAATGGGTATCAGTTGGCCTGAGGGTAACCTCAATAGCCATAAGCCAATTCTTTGTTTATGTTTGTCTTTAACTCGGAGAGGGAGGCAAGAAGAATTCTACACTAAATTCCATTGTAGCTTGATCAAAGGGCGGAGTGGGAGGGGATGTTCAAGGAAGATAGTTGAAGATTTGGAAAATATTTGAATACAAGTGATAGGTATTCCTGAACACCTTTGGTGTAATGAGTTGTATATTGTGAGTGGTGATTATTGGGGAGTTCATGGCTATTGACACAAATAGAGAATGTAGAACAGATTTGAGAAGTGCATGGATTTAAGAAGGGCTTGGGCACCTGCTGAAGTGGCCGACGTCATCGCCGGAAAGATGACATCGTCTCCCAAAAGATGACATCATCGTCAGAACTGATCAAAAGTGATATGGCTTGATGGGTTTTTTCTACCGAGTATTATGATTTTTTTGGAATTTTTGAAATCATCCAGTATTGTTTTTCAATTTTTGAATGATTTTTAGATTTTTTGGGTAATATTTTGAGATCTACTCTTTGGCTGAGTTTGGAACTAAACTACCTGCTTTAATCCTTCAAGTGGGTGCCAATTGGACCTTAAAGAAACTCCGGGGGAGTTTATTGCGCAGCCCAGTGGTTTTTTGGATATTTTTTACCATCAGCCATGCTTCGAGGCTGCTGGTTTGTGTTCCAACAGTTCAGGTGGGTTTTCTCCTATTACTTTGAGGCTGTGGAAGAGTTTTGTGTGAGACCCGGTGCTGGGTTGTGGAATTTTTGGCCAGAAGAGGAGCTTGGTGATCCTCTGTGGACTTCAGCAACCTCCAGTGGCTGCACTGTTTTGTGCTCTGCAGTCACTGTTTGGACTTTTTTGGTGTTGGCAGTCACTGGTTGACCTCCTTTTGTCCTGGGTTAGTCCCGAAATTAGTGTTTCTTAGTCGGGCTTTGTGGAAGAGCCTCTCATTTCTGAGTAGGCATGTCGGGAGTTGGTACAAACTCTATTAGTATTGAGAAAAGTGAGTTGAGCCGTGTAGGGACTCTTGGATGTAACCCTTCCCTCCAGATCAATCTAGTACATTTAGATGGGAGTAACTATTTGGCCTGATCAAAATCATGTTTGTTAGCAAGTGGATTAAATGGATACTTGACAAGGGCAAATAAGAAGCCCAAATCAGAATTTGATCTTAGCCAAAGGATTTCTTGAGAACTCGTTGGTAATGACATGGTTACTTAACTCACATGCAGACTAACATCAATTGTGTTTTTCTATTTCTTGAGACAGCCCATGAGATTTGGTTAGTTGTAGCTCAAACTTATTCATAAATTTGGAATGATGCCCAAATTTATGAATTCGGAAGAATATTCATAAAACCAATCAGAGGAATATGACTATTGCAAAATATTATGTAGGATTGAGTAGTCTAGGACAGGAACTGGACTATTATCAGAATTTTCAAGTAACCTGAGCTGAAGATAGATCTAAGTTTTAGAAATTGGTAGAGAAAAAACAAGCATATAATTTTCTTGCAGGTCTCAATATGGAGAGTGATTATATCCGTATTCAAGTCTTAGGCAGAAATCATTTTCCTTCTTTGAAGCAAACATACGCCTATGTATAGCAAGGGGAGAGTAGGAAGAGTATTATGCCTCATAATCCTACCAATGATCGATCTGCTCTAACGGCTGTTCCACAAAGAGAGAATAAATATGTTCAGCCTCGGAGTGATGGAAAAAATGGGAGCTTTGAAAAAGATCTGTTAAAATGTGATTACTATAGAAAGACGAGGCACACCAAGGACCATTGTTAGAAGCTACACAATCATCCATCTAGGTGACGTTGTGTTAATAGAGCTTGTTTTGTGCGCTCACATACTCATTTGCCTAAGAGTGTTGATCAAATCCCCTCCATCAATGGCCGATCTCCATCTACTGGTGTTGATAGTGCAAGTTTTACTTAAGATGAGATGCAAGCTCTCAGATCTCCGATGGCCTGGCTTGATGCTTCTTTTGCATCTGCTTCCAATTCTACTACTTCTAACTTTGCCAGCACAGGTATACATGTCAATGCATGCCACTTGCTCTTCTAATTCTTGAATAATCGATTCCAAAGCCACTAACCACGAGGAGGAAATTAGAATGGAAACTATCCCATAAGATGGTTGCAAGAGAGTTAAAAAAATCTTCAGATTGACTAGTAAAGGAGACATAGACCACAGGAAAAGGTGCTAAATTTTCAGGAAGAAGTTTATTAGTTAGAATATGAGGGGGTATAGGGAACTAGAAGAAGAGGAAGATGACTAAGGAGATGATTGTAAAGGCTTATCTGGATCTAGCTGTGCTATAGGAGACCAAATTAGACACAATAGACGATACTTTGATTAGGACTGTTCGGAAGTCTGGATTTAAAAATTGGATTTTTATTCCATCTTGCAGGGCCTATAGGGTATTGTTATGATTTTGGGTAGTAGATTCACAACTAGAGTTGATGACGTCCTTGGTTCTTTTTCTATGCCTATCCTACTTGAGTTTACGGGTCGAGGGGAGTGGTGGGTTTCTTATGTTTATGACCCAACTGCCCTGAACTTGGTCCTTCTTTTTGGGATGAGTTATATGATTTGTTCGGATTGTGTAAAACCCTCCATAGTGCATTTGTTTAGGGTAGGGGGGAATGGATTTTAATGTAATAGAAACTCAAGTGTGAAGTTAGGAGATTTAGGATCACAACTAGTATGAAAAATTTTGATTTTTTTACATGTGAATGTGGGTTGCGGGATATTACATTGTCTAATGCACAATTCACATGATCTAGAAGTTCAAAAAATCCTACTGCAACACGGATAGATGATTTCTTTTTACTACTATGTGGAAAAATGTGTTGCCAAACGTGGTGCAAAGAGTTATGTCTAGTGTCTGACTATTTTCCTCTTACTCTTGAGTCCAATCCAATTAAGTGGGGACCTACACCATTTAGGTTTGAGACTATGTTGTTAACTAATTATTCTTTCACAAATAGGTGCAGAGAGTGATGGTTGCACTGTGAGGTACAAGGGTGGGAGGGATTCAAATTATGAAGATGTGGAATGTGGAATGAAAGGGTATTTGGAGATGTTAGAGGTAGAAAAACAGTGAATTTGAAGGAAATCGAGGCATTAGACAGTTTTTGAAATATTAACGGATGAGCAAATGAGGAGAGTTTCCCTAAAAAATGAGCTAGAGAAAGTGTTAGTGAGGTAGGAGAATAGCTAGAAGCAAAAGACTAGATTTAAAAGGGTTAAAGAAGGTGATTGTAACATAAAAGTTTTTCCATATGATGGAGAATAGTAAAAGAAGGACGAATATCATTAGGGAACAAGAAAATGAGTCATAGGAAAATGAGTCAGGAGAGTCTGTAACAGATCCTGGGTTAATTGCAAAGGAGATCACAAAATTCTATAAAAGCCTATAGGCTAAGGATATTCCTTTTAGGCTAATTATTGAAAGTCCTGATCCGAGTCTCATATTGTATGAAAGAGCCAAGGATCAAAATTTCATTTTGAAACAGTCGAAAAATTCGAAACATTTTCGTTTTCAAGGAAACCGAAACGAATTAGTGATAGCATCAAAAGTTTAATATTTCGAAGTATTCCATAATGTTTCTAAATATTTTGTAATATTTCAATGCATTTGCACAATTGTTTCAGAATGTTTTTAGATATTCCAAGATACTTTGATATATTGCGACCAATATTTTGAAAAAAAAAATCTTAAATTTTTTATTTTTTTCATTATATTTCCTAAACGGGTCGAAACGTTTCTATTTTTTTGGTGACCGAAACAAAATTTTGATACTTGGAAAGAGCTAGTTGGCATGAGAGACCTTCTAAGTATTGGTGCATGGGGAGTCTAGTGAGTGGTTCAATCTTACGAGGGGATTAAGACAAGGAAATCCTTTATCTCCTAAATTTAGAATGACGGTGGATCTTTTGAGTAGGATGATTAATAGAGCAGAGGAGGTAGGTTTCATAGGGGGCATGCGAATGGGTGGGAAGTATGTTAATGCTAGTGTGTCACATTTGCAGTTTGCTGATGACACTCAAGGTTCAAAGTATCGGCTGAGTCGGATACAACTCGGCCAAGTCGTATCCGCCTCGGCAGGCAGTGATACGATAACAATACACGATACAAGACTATCACGAGTCTACCATGAAT